AGTCTTGACGGAGGAGTAGATAAAGTAACATCTCTTGGGGACTGCATGGAGTTGAAATGGGAGAAAGGATGATTAAAAGAGAGAGGTCTAAGGTTGAATTCTAATGCGACAATGTGGCAGGCAACGGTTTAGGGACTCTGTAAAAAAACAGCTATGTGATTTAGTTTTCAAACTTTACAGCCTGTCCTTTTCAAAACTTCCGGTCGAAAAGAGAAACTTGACAATGATATACTTCTTCCGGTTTCCTTTGCCTGAAGAAACACTATCCAGGTAAATATAAGAGGACACATCAAAAGTTGCAATCTTCAATGAAAAGTGCACTCTGGTCATTCTGAAGAGGGATTTTTTAGACCATAATGTCTTGATCTTACAATCTTACATTTTGTGTAGTAATACAAGTGATTCATGTGTATGTGCAAATAATCGGTAACTGGAATAGTACAACAATAAAATGTGGCTATGTTTTGCTAGCTGTTGTTCTGTCTCGTCACAGTGGTTACAGATGCATGACTTCTACTTTATTGTTGAGGAGTTCGTTCTAAATGCAAATACAGCAGTTCGTACTTGCGAAAAAGCTAATTGCATCATTTTCTCTTGAATCATAAAAGGCCTTTGTTAGTGAGAATAAAGTACATTCAGGTGAAAGATAATAAGCATCTATTATTCAAGGATTCCCCATAGTCCTTAGTGCTGGTCCTTTCCTCCTCCAGTCTGACTGGCGTCTTTGTAAAGGACAACTCCAAAGCCAACTTTTTCTTTTGCTCGTATAACGGATGGCGCACATTAAACGATGTTCTTAAAGGACGCATAGCCATAATTTCTGGAATAACGTTCGTTGAGTAAATCTTTACGGAATGGGATCAAGGCTTGTGCGAACTTTCTAGCCTTCATAATCTCATTGCCGAGATAACTGCTACAGGGGCTTTGGAACGCATGGATAGGCAAAAGTGAATAGGAGGAAGTGACGTTCATATCCAGACATTAGTTATGCGAAAACATCTATAACGTCGCAAATTTCGTTAGTTTTTTCGAAGATGATTGCCAGCGTTGAAGTTTACCTGCAAGCATAACTACAGGAGAAATGTCTATTGCAGATGTAACATTTGCTAATAGTTATGCATAATGCCATGCTTTTTCATGAAAATACTTCAAGGGGAAATGAAAAAAGGCCATGGACTAAACTGCGTGGAGCCATGAATCTAACTAAAAGGCTTTGGGATAGGGAAAATCCTATAAATGCGCATTTTCAATCAACCACTAAGTGAGAAAAAGGCTGTAACAGTTCTAAGAAGTAATCATTTTCAGTAAAAAATTTTCTTCACCTATCCTTATGAGCAAATTGCTTGGTAATGTCCAAAAATAACAAATTACTTCTAGAGTGGATGTTAAAGGAAAAGCAATGCGAATTAGGAACGAGAAACCTCTTTTCTTTCTATGTTTCTAAAAATTGGAAATAGGCTCATTACACATAGAAGTAAGGAAAAGTTAGCTAAACTCTATGCAGAAATTATGTGTTGAGGATAGAACTGACAGGTTATTAAAGCAATCCGTCCTTCTGCTATATTTGATTTGCGTTCGAGTCAACGATTCTGTCAGCAGTGGCAGAATTGCTGAGCATTTCTTAAAGATCGCAAATCAAATTTTGTCACAAAGTACGCACTAAGAAGGAAGTAGTGCATTAGAAACTCATGAAATAGCAAAACGAAGATGGTTATTTCGTTCAATACGAAGAAACTAATGTGTTCTCAAAAGTCTAGATTTTTGAAAATAATTCGTCAAATGGATAAAATTTAAAAAAA